GTGCCGACCCAACTCCACCACCACACGCACGCCTCGCGGCGGATGCGCAGCAGCAAGAACGTTTCGGTCATCCCTTGAGGGTGAGTCTACCCCTGCTCGCCAGAAAGACCCCCCCCTTCGCTACAACCCATGTCTAAGCAAAAGCTTGTCGAGGAGCGAGGGGAAGAAGGGAGAGGTTGTTGACCAGGATAGAATTTACATGTACCTTCCGAGAACTCCAGGTCACTTTCAGTGACCGTGAACTTGATGTTACAGCGTGCTCGCGCGATATATGCATACTTTACGGTCATAGGAAATGACACGGCGAACACTACCTCATGAATGCTGTACGACATGATTGCCTGCTGTGTTTCGCGGCTGATTGCCTGTTGTCTACGCTAATCTGGGTGCTTCAGAAATGTCCCTTCTTGAGGAGATATCAGAGAGTTGCGTCGTGGGTGTAGAGCCCCAGAAACCTAGACGGGCTAGAGAATATTCTCGAGCGTTGGGTGCACAATCAACGCTCCATAACGTGCAAGCTCTTCGCGGGGTAACCAACACCATGTGGGACATTTGATGTCATCGGGAGTCCAATCGAAGTTCAAGGTGATGGCAGCGATAGCGACACCAAGTACTCATCTTAGGGCGAGTCAAAAACGTTGTATTTGAGGATCATCGCGAACAATGACGGTTCAAACCTTCCCGATGGTCTGATGCACCTCGTCGGTGTGGTTGCTGGGTGCTCTTTCGGTCGCTTTCGAAATTTGTCAAAATCCAGGATCGACCTTAGGCACCCACCCCCTATAGATGTTTTACAGCAGAGACCAGGGTCGACACGCGAAAATCGATCACCGGTTCGACGCAATTCGTTGCGTTGCTAGGTCAGGCTGGAACTGTCCAAAGTGAATGCCAAGAGTCAGTGCGGCTGCTCTGGATTACTGTGCAGCTGCCACATGTTCGCTCGGCTTCTGCCCCCATATTAAACAGTCAGGCTAAGTCAAATTTGTGTGGTTGGGCCTGCCAGGACTGGAGCTGGAAGCCTACAGCAAAATCATCTCTGGGCGGTTCTGCTGCTGGTTGCAACGACCACCAGAGCCACTTCGATGCTTTTCCGAGCTTGTATTCCATTTTGAACAGTACGTGCTCGGATTCATACATGAGCAGCCGACGGGTACCATTCGGGGAAGGTCAACGCGGAACCACCGAATGTTTGCGCGATGGCACACACCTCAGCAATGTGTTGTACTTGTATTTGTATTGTGAACAACACGATCCCATGTGTTGAGTACTTTCTCCGTCCTTTGCCGAAGTCGGCTTCGGAACGACTGTTGGACCGTACGGACATTTTCCCGAGCCTAGACACAAAGTGTAATGAGCCCGGTGACACACCGAGCTCCGTGCATCCTCTACCCCAACGATGGCATAGCCGGCAGCGGTAGCTCGCTCGTCTTGGTCTTGATAACCTCATCGATAAGTCCATACTCCATCGCTTCAATGGGAGTCATGAAAAAATCACGATCAGTGTCCACCTGGGCGATAAAAGATTCAAGTGATCATTGAGCGCACAATTAATACATGAAAAAGTTAGCTTGGGAGGAAACAGAATTCCCTGTACCTAAATGGACAAAGGTAGCGCATAATTCTCCAATACTTTCTCTGGACCAAAACATAAGCTCATTCGGAAAATACCAAAATATAAGCCCGCTTCTTAGTACGGTAAAACAGAGCCAAATACGGTCGATTTCAACCAGCAGACCCTTGAAGTGTGTTGAGCGTTGATGTCAAGGTGGGGAAATTGTGAAGAAAAAAAAAAGGATCCGGGGATGTTGGGGGATGAAATGATATTTCCATATATTTTTCCCCTAGAATACACGTTTCGAGTTGAATATCTCGCCAAAATTGACTCCAGATCCGATGCGGACAAGTTTTCCCGTGTTTTCTTGTTAGCACCAGCAGCACCAGCAGCGCCAGTAGCCCCAGCGGTCGACGGCATGGCGAAGATATGATGGAAAGGTAGTCCACCGAGAAAATGAACTCGTTCACTGCTGCTAGCCTCCGTTGGACGGGCTCGAGGTAGTGATGCATTCATCGGAATTAAAAAGAAAAAGTTCAAATCGGTTGTCCGAAACGTCACCAAACCCGCCGCCAAAACCGTTTTCACATTTATTCAGAAGAAACCTGACGATTCCCGTCTTTCGAGGCAGCCACCGTCTGATCCCCGTAAGCGTAGGTGGTGTTGTACTAGTAGCGTAGTGAAAACCTCGGTTTTGGACTCTGCTCCAGATCCTTGCGAAAACAACAAAAAAAACGTTCATGAAAACTCGCATATGGGCGTGTGTCATTCCGTTTTTCCTCCAAACGAGTTTATGTTTTGGTCCAGTGCAAGTACTTCGTTGTGGAGTGGCGGACAAAGCTGCCCAGAAGCAAACACCATGTGCGTGCTTTCTGCTTTGCGTTGTGATGCAGCTTATGGTTAAGAACGTTCCACGGCCACGGAGTAGTTGTATACATACCAAGCGGGGCGTTCTACACTTATCTTCGTTGAGTTATATTGACTGCGGTACACCAAGCATACGGACTTCTATTGGCTTGCAGACCCTTCCGGTCCATAGCATTTTGTTTAGTACACCTCTTTTAGGGTAAAAGTTAGCCTGTGACCACGGGAATCGACCGCGTAAAGTGTTAGACTAGTACGGACAGAAATTGTTGCGACCGCTATAAAAAAAACTACAGCTTCGTTCCTGGGTTGCCGTCAAAACTGGATAGTCGGAACCGTGCGATTGTGTTATCAAGGCATACCCATCGCTGAGGCAGGAAACGGGTACTGGGGGGGAGATCATCGAGAAAGGCTGTGATAAACCGGACAGTGAGAGTAGAACTACTTGACTTTTTTCTCTGGCCCGAAGCTTGGCGAAATGCGAATTTGTGTTGGCAGCGGCAGCCTGGTCCTTACTGCCCTCCAGTAATTGTGCTCCCAGTACCGTGGCGAGTACCGTAACGTCCCGGCGAAGGCAATGTACAAGAATTGCGACGGCTTCTATATGCTGTGGCCCTTTTTTCCAACACCCTGGTTTTGCAGCGGTGATGTGAGCCACCGGTTCTTGGAGAGTAGATTTTGGTTAAAAAGGATTTTGCAAAACTCTGGTACCGACCTGGAGACGTTTTAGATTGAAATTCGACACAATTTCAATTTCGAGGTCTGACGGTCCTTGCCAACTCTTGCCGAAATGACGATATCGAGTGATGTTTGCGCCATCGTATCTAACGCTGATTGTTGAATACAAATCGGGGGACATTTTCACCGCAGGGGCCTTATTTCGGGTGATCTCAATAGATCTACATGGCAGGCTAAGTCTCCGTGTAACATGGTGAGACTCATGCTCGACATTCACGGAACAACACGACAGAGAACCCGAGATGATAGCTAGTGCTCGCAAAATCTGTATCCTTGTTTTCCATTATCAGAACATGGACCTGCATCTTTGCTTTACCCATTGCAGGTTCGATGTGTGATGTTCGGCATTTCGTGTATGCGCATCACCATGATCATATTCTTGTGGACCTGGGCACTGCTAGGGGCTGAGATTGCATTTGGAGATGACGATACAACCCCCTGTCGTCCCATCCTGGGGGCCTCTGCACTCCTCACATCAATATCATATATTCACTTCTCTCTACCGGGGTTTGGTAGCACGCCCTGGGGGATTGCTGAGGGTCTATCGCTCTCCAGTTCATAGTTGGCATCCATCATACGGATCGGAGCTCTTTCGTTCGGCGCACGTGCACTCCCAGGATGTGTTCTCGGAAGACTCCCGGGGCTGATAGAGTTTTCAACATGCAGAAGCCGGCGACGACAAACTCTCTTGTGCCCGCTGACTCTCGTCGCTCTTACTCTCGGGTAATATGATCAACAACCACGATCAGTTGGCCCCCTTGGGTCAATTTTCTCGCCATGACTCCACTTCGGGCTACCAGGTAAGTCGGGAAGTTGTAATCGTGTAGGGCCCTTACGTGGTCTCTTAGGGCCCTAACACGGATGATATGCGTGTCGAAGGCAGACTATCTCGATGCGCTAGAAGTGCCACCGTGAAGCACGTCTTGGCGTCCTCTTGCAACGACGGCTGGTTCTAAACGGGAACCGCCACCAGCCGAGGAATGCAACCCGACGCGGAGTGGCGTAGTCCCAGCCAAGGCAACAAACGCAGTCTTGGTGCGTCGTTTGCAGAAGGGCCAGGCTTGTATACGCACAAGGTGGTGCAGAGCCAATCGTTCAAGACTAGGGTACTGATCGACGCTGCTCACGACCGCACAGATATACTTCGTAGCGCAATTTGACTTTGTTCGCCGCTCGTTTACACGCTGATGTAGAGAAATAATTTTGAAAAACACCCGAATAACCTTCCGCCACGGTTGCCCAACAAGTTTACTGGGATGTTGCAACGATCTTCGTTGAAACTCACCTCAATCTTCTCCGCAGGTTGGTCGGTATACTCTGCCATGTAGCCATTCAACAGCCGTTTCGTAAACAAGATCTCCTTTGCCTGGCAAAAGCAACGGCAACAGAGGCCCCAACGACGAGGAAGGTTGGTGCTGCGCGTTGATTACATTACGCGTAAAACAAGTCAAGACGGTTAGTGAAGAGGGGTCCGGCACTATCAATCCGTAAATCAACGCAAGTGGCCAATATCAAACCGGATTGCAGGACAAGAACAAATTTTGAGTGCGATAGCGGGCCAAGCAAGGAGGCGTACTCGAGGATGTCAGTGCGAAGGATGTATCATTTACTACTCTGCAGCGGCTTGGGTGGAAAGTCGATGCGTACCTTTTGCGACAGTACAATTCTCCCAATGTGCTACATTGAAATGGTTGTGATTTGCCAAAACGCACTGGTCTGATTCTCGATGGTAACCCAATTCGCGGCATGAGGAGCAATATCGGATGGGTATCTACCGATCGGCATATCCGCGGCTCGTGCGGGCCTTTGTGAAAAACGACGTGTCAGGTACTGGCACTTTCGCAAAGTTGTCATGGTCGACACCAAGAACCACTTCGTCATGAGATTGATTGAAATGGGCTAGTACATGCCACCTCATATGCGAAACAAGGAGCGCTCGGTGCTAAAAGATGCACGGCGTCTGCGCTTTCAGTGAATCTTGGTCACCTGGACTCTTGCTTTCAATCACAGTCGCACCTGGATTTCAATGTCGGCAGCCTGCCCTGCAGCCCCGCCGAGAGGTTGGTGAATCATGATGCGGGAGTTGGGCAAGGACTTGCGCTTTCCGGCGCTGCCGGCACCAAGCAAGAACGCCCCCATTGACGCCGCCATTCCGAAGCATACCGTAGCCACATCACATGGAATGAACTGCAATGCAAGGCCGAGACAATGTTCGCTGTGTCGGCATAGTAAGGCTAGCAAAATTAGAACGAAGGGAATGATCTTGCTGGGTGGGACCTTTCATCGGGGGTGTTTTTCTCGAGGAAGTGGGCGATTGGAGCGCCTAAGCCGAGGTGTTTCTGCGCGTTTAAGCGCATCCGATACTGTCTTTGCAAAACAGAGACTCAAGCATGAGGGAGAAGAGGGCAACAACTGACGAGCGGCCGGGACAGAGGAACTTCAAGTTCGCAACTCCGATGGACATGCGTGTGACGCGTTGGGGAGAGAAAGAAAATACTAGCAGCAGCGAGTATCGGCAATTTCCCTCGCAGAAATGTATTTCCGCTCCAACCGTAGGATGACAACCGTGCACATGGGAAAGCAACCGACACGTCATCTGCATTAGTGAGGTCAGACCTAACAGTTGGTTTGTTCACATTCAAGTACGGGGTGGTTCCTGCGTGTGTTGTGTGCTGCACATGGTCCCTGCTCAAAAAACTTGTGTGTCATCAAGGACCCACTGACTGTGTGCTGTGTTTCAGCAGAGTCTCCGCTTCCATTGATGTCTTCTTCGCCGCGGCTGTTTCCTCTGCGCTCAACAAAGCTACGATCACGAGGTGCGCGGCTATGCCTCAGCATAAACCAGTCCTCGCCAACGCAGCGAACTTTTCACCTCGCATCGCAAGCACAGCAGCGGAAAAGTACAAAACAACCACACGTGTTCACAGAGGACAAATCCACGCATTTTTTGCCCACGACGTTCTCCACAACCGAACAACATAGCCCCCATGTAAGCCACGGCTCGATGACCTAGGACAGAACAGGGATGTTTCCGCCGCCCGCGGCGGACGCAACCATTTCTTTTCCGCGTGGACAACTCCCCAGCCTGCTAACCTACGGCCACCGAACTTTTGAGAGTCAACCATCATCTAGCAGGCACAACTGTGTTCCAAGTTTCAAAATCGCCCGATCTACACGCCGCGTGTGACACAACACCGAGCGACAGACCTCGCTTGCAACAAAATCAGACCGGAATTTCTCAACACGTACTCGTCCCGTCGACACAAATCTTACATCGATGTTGAGCTAGAATTGAACTACACTATGCTCATGCCTTGGTGCATTCCCCAGATCGGATCGCAATGCACAACCAAGGGGTATACTTGGGGGAGACGCAAACTGTAACGTATGGCCCACGGGGGTGTATATTTCCCGTCAAATACCCTCCTTGCCGCATCTGCCCGTCGATGAAACCACCGTAAAATAATTAACCTCATGGCACAGCACCCCCCTCTGCATGACCGCTGTGCTGATGGACTACAGGTGACCTTCCTTGCATTTCTGATACCCAAGAGTTGTATAGTCCTTCTGCCCCGTGTAGTACTGGAACAAATCGCTCTATCGATAATGCTGCTGTACATATTAACTCCGGCGCGGTATATATGAAATAGTGAAGTTGTGCGCAGATCCGCTGTTCGTACTACTACTACTGTGCTGCATGTATGATGTGCGAAAGGACCATACTGCAGCCGAAATACATGATCACAAGAAAGAAACACGGGCTGAACGGTCTCTAGAGGTTTCACAAAATGGTAAAAAAAAAAATGTCCTCTTGTCTGTCTGTCGCCGTTCACTCCAAAGGTCCGAACCACGCGCTTTTTTTAAGCCGAACGCCCGAGGCGCAGGAATGAGATAATCGACCGTCCTGCACTAATTTAGACGCCCTCAGCAAGTTTGAGCTTGATTGGCGCCTCCTGCTTCAAGTTTGGCTGTGTCGGTGACCGACCTTTTCAAGCACGAAAACACGAGCATGCAGCAGCCGGTTGCTGCCGGCACCAATTTGCTCTGATGCCGATGAAATTGTGCCTAAATGTTGCCTACCCGCCACCAAATGGAAGCCCCGCCCAATCTACAGCTGGAATGACAAGTATTTTGACGCTGGAATAGCTGTGTGTCTACCAGTATTGCCTACCAACGAGAGGTTGGGCCACACCGCTGCAACCTTTCCACACGGAGTTTATTCCGCCGCATGTGGCACGCAAGTTGATGATTGACGACTCTATCTTTCGTAGTCGGAACACATCATTATCATCCATCCGTCCATCCATCCATTGTACAATAACTCCTATCTCGACCAATTTTAACGAGCGCATAGTGGCCTCCCTATTGCTCGGGGTGACCCTTCCACCAACAGGGTCGAGGCACACGACTGTCGCCAGCTCAGCGGATGCACCGCTGCCACGCTGCCACCTTCTTCGCGGAGGATGTTCCGCCGCATTTCGACAGTTACTATTTTGTTCAACGGCGCGCTCATGATACATAATTGTTGGTTCATTACTGGAGTACTTCGTTCCCGTCTGAAGACATCAATCAATCAATTGAAGCCCCGTTCAATCATCAGTTGGATTGAGAAGTCCTTCGATGCTGGAATAGCAGTGTGTATGCCAATTTTGATTTTGCCTGTTAACGAGAGGTTCGGACCGTCCGAGCCACATCGCTGCAACCTCCCGACGAGGAAGTATATTCCGCCGCATTCGCACGCACATTGGTGACTACATATCTCTTTTCCTCGTCGAACACATCCATCCATCCATCCATCCATCCACTGTACAAAAACTACTCCGATGTCCACCAATTTTCGCGTGCGTGTAGTTGCCTACCTGCCATCAAATTCCAATCTACAACGGGATTAATACCCACTTTTGAGGCCGGGAGTAGCCTTCCAACGGCCGGGTCGGGTAACACCTGTACTTGCCCCGCGGAGGCTACTTTTCTGTCGCGTGTCGGCGGTTACACTATCTGTTCTGTTTTTTTACGCGCGCGAATACAGTAATGTTCTTCGTCGTCTCCTTCAACAACAATACCTTCATCATCTACTGTAAACCAAGATTTAAACAATTATCCATGCTCTCTATTGTAGTGTGTACTGCTGTACGTGTTCGACAGCTACTATTTGTTTACGCGATCGCGATTTCATAATTGTTGTGGAGTTCTCGGCGGAACACATCAATATATTGTAGTTTTTACCTCCGACATAATTGCGCGTAAGTTGCCTACCTGCCATAAAGTTGAAGCCCCGCTGCCCGATCATATCGAGGTCAGGACAAGTTTGCCAACGAGAGGCTCGGGGCATTCCTCTGCCAAGTGATGCGTGGTAGATTGATCCGCCGTGTTTGGACGGATGTACTGTTATTTGTTGCTTTTCGCGCAGTTGGGCCAACGAAACCCCGACACGTATGTTGTATATGTACTTCGTGTTTATGTATTCATACCACATTATTATTGTCCACCTCCTCACACCACCTGCAGCACCTACTCATACCACAAAAAAAAAACTCCTACAGAACGAGGACGGTTGCCCAAGGCAAGCTGCGACACAACAGATGAAAATTTCGTTTTTACGCGTTATCGACTTTGGCGGAGGCGGTTTAATGAGAATGCGGCGGAAAACGGCAGTATACCGGCCGATACCGCCCCCCGGGAAAATACCGAGTAGACCCTTGCTTAAATATGGTGAGGGCTTTCTTGTTTCTAGAAACAATATTTTTTGTGGTTGGCCAACTATACAATGATTCCGAGTTCCCTCATCACTTTTATTTTGGAGATGGGGGTTACGACACATCCGTTATCGGTAGTCCATAGAAATTCAACCGTGACGTGTCGTTGCACACGCGTAGAAGGGCGCAAGCCTGCTGTATAACAGTGGAGGCGTTGTGTGTACGTAGATTTTCTATAAAACATACACCACATGTGTCCCTACAAGCCCTCCCTCTGAGAGGGATATGATGAGAGAGCCGCGGCAGGGGGCGATGCGAGAACATGCGAAAAACAACCAGCGGAAACACAACATACTCGAATGTGCATTCGATTGGACTGCGGTACTCGTTCATTCAATCAAAGGGTCATTTTTAGGAGGTACAGGTAGGCGCGAGCTTTTTCGATCAATGAAAATTCTTCTGTAGGAACTTGGCTGCAAAAAACGTTTATTTTCTAGATTTTCTTCGTTTCAAGCCCGCATGCCGCGCGCATGTGTAAGCATGTCCTGTGTAGTATGTGTGCCGCATGTGAATATATACGTGCATGCTGACGTCCCGATCTCAGGCTCGGCGGATCTGCACGGTAATCTGAATTGCTCTGTATCTCTGCTGACACCGCCACGACATACATGGCTCGACTGCTGGAACGACTTGAGCGGCGTCAAGCGGCGTTTTCTCCGAGCAAACTACGCATGTATACTGGCGCTCAAACGAAACCACAAGCCACCAACCAATGGGGCGGGAGGGGGGCAGGAGACGGACGAGACGGCGAGGGAAAAAAGCAAACGAGAAGAGACGGACCGAGTGGCGCGATACGTGCCGGATTGAACTTCTTATAGCCAATTCCCACCCCCCCAACGCTGCAACATTGCACCAACCCCCCGCTAGTGACGACGTACCATTACAATGTATCGCTGGTTGGTGGCCATGTTTGCGTTTTTGCTTGTCGTTAGTGGTCTCTCCACCGTGTGCCTTTTTCTGTCTCTTATTTCTTGTTATTTTCGGCCTGGTCCCTTGTGGTCCTAGCTCTCGTTCTTTCATTTTCTCTTTCCGTACTTTTTCCTTTTATTTTCTTCTCTTTTTCTCTTTTTCTCTCTTTTTCTGTGCCAGATGGCCTTGTCTATGCTTGCGTTGTGAAGTACCAAGATTGAACCAAGGGCGTGTACCTCATTCTCTCCGGCCCGTGATAGTGACTCCTAGTCGCAGTTGTTTCCTCTCATAGCGCGCAGAGGGAGTGGAGGACTCCAGAATATCTGTCGTTGATTTATATTGACTTGCGGACCCCTCGGGGCCATTTTGTTTGAGTGTACCTTTTTAGGGTAAGTTAGCCTGCGACCACGGGAATCGACCGCGTCGAGTGTTGGATCAGTACGGACATACGAAGGTACTGGGTAGAGAGAGATCGGAACGGTTACTTAATGTGAAGACAACAACTGTAGTACACTGACCGTGGCATCATGATCTCTGAAAACCCGGTCGGAAAAATAGGCACCTTTCTGGGGCGCATGTGGGCGTTCAACCAAACTCTGAATTGGGGCTGAGGCGAGATGAGACAGCATTCCACAACGTCTCCGCAGCATGCCGTAGTCGTTAGACCATTGACCTCGCATCCCTACAAAGCCGGGACGGAGCACGCCGGGTTCTCACCGGACCAGGCTCTCACATCACCAAGCGCGAAGCGCTGGGAAATATTCGACGAGTCGCATGAAGGGTGCGCTGCATCCTGCTAAGGGTGTTCGGCATCCTGTGCTTACTTCCTTGCGTACGGATGACAGCTGCGTATGACTTAATTTGTTTTCTCGTACTTCACTTCCAGCGACAGTTGTTAGCACTGTGTAACTGCCTCGAGCATTCTTGACCATTTTAACACAACGTGGTGCCATCATCCCCCTTGCGCGGAGTGAGGGTTCTCGACCCCGTACAACATGATCTACTCGACCACCATTATGGTTACCGCCAAAAAAAAGAGGTAAAAAAAAAAAAAACGGTCTCCTGGTTGCCGAGTTCACGAAGTGGATTGGCTTGGTTTACAACGTCGTTGCCAAGCGACGAAAACCCAACCCCGATGGTAAAAAGGGGGGCTTTCGGGGGGGGTCCTTTTCTGAGCCCAAAAAAGTATTTGGGCATCTTCATGGTAGGAACATGGCATGTTCCAAGAGCGATTCCGGCCAGCCTGTTAGGAAATTGGGCTACTTTCCAAGAGCGATCGGGTTGGAATATCGCTGTCAGGAATGGGGGGGAGGACACCCCCTGGTCGCACCCCGATCGTGCCAGAACGAGGAACTACACCGTCTGCTGGCCAAACAGAGGCCAGTATCATGAGGTCATGCACAAACCCTCTGCAAGTATCTAAAATTCAGGGCGTTCTGCGTCGTGTTGGCCGTACACGAGCCGAAAACGTCAACCCTGCCACATTGCTCTGCTGACGTTCTTGCCTTTCGGCCGAAAAAAGCCGTTTTTGCGCCTGTTGCATGCGCGACCAGTTGAAAACGCAAGCCAGAGAGAGGCCTTTGGCCGTTGACATAACAAACTGCAGCTAATGGCGTGTGGCGAAACACATACCCTCTGCTCACGACCCAGAAACAGAGCGTATTGTCCAGTTTTGATTGCACACGGGCTGCAAACGTGAACCAAAGTGTGTTGGGGGTGTGACTTTTTGGGCTTTATTCTTGTTCCGCCGCGTGTGTGCTCCGTGTGCCACCCGCTACCAGTCAAAAACGCACGCCAGAGAGAGGCCTTTGGCCGACGACATCCACAAAGAGCAGTCAGTGGCGTGTGGTCATACACATGTGCTCTGCTCGCGTGCCAGAAACAGGGCGTACTGTCCAGTTTTGATTGCACACGGCCTGTATACTTGAACGGAAGTGTGTTGCGGTGTTGCCTTCTCTTCGTCAACCCTATTTTTTTTGGACGCTCCGAGCGTGATCAGTCCTCAACGCATGCCAGAGAGAGGCCATTGGCCGACGACATCCACAAACTGCAGCCATGGCGTGCGATGATACACATGCCCTCAGCAGGCGACCCAACGACAGGGCGCTCGGTGTCTTCTTGGTCGCACACGAGCCAAATCCGTGAACTAAAGCGTGTGACCCACAAAAATCTTCAGTCGGCCATTTTTTTCCCCCGAGAAAAAAAATGGCTCGAGGAACCGTAAGCAGGTCGTTTGGATCCAGATGATTTTTCCCTTGCAGACCACCCCCCACCGGAAGAAATAAAAAATCCGAAATAATCAAGCCGTAAGACTCGGCCTATCAAGAACCTGAAATTTCCTCCGCGAACCTCGTATTTTCTTGTTGGACTAAAACGAGCTTTTGGGCACAACTTTACGCTTGAATCGACTACAATCTTTCAGCACCCCTACACCGGAGCCGACCTAATTCGATTTTTTTGCATTTGAAACACGTGTACGGGCTTCCGGGGGTCCTATTCGTTAGACCCCGATAAGTCGGTAGGAGCGGGGAAACTAATATTTTTCGGATTCGTAGCATCAATACCTGTCAACCTGCCAAATTTGGGGACGATCCAACCTTTCCTCAGATATCCTTTCCTCAGATATATACGACAGAAACCGTTTCGATGCTTTCTGGGCGGTTGCTCCGGACAGCCGGTGGCCATCTGACGACGCCGAAGGACCACAACACCGAAAATCCCACCGTTTTTGGCGTAACTCGCTCCAACGGTGGCCGTTTTCACTTCTTTTTCTTTTGTTGGATTCCCTAGAGCTTGAAGGTCATTTGAGGATGAACTCTGGCCGAACAAGTTTTGAGTTATTTGTCGGAAAACGTGAAGGCCGCTGATTGGCCAGGTACATTCTTGGGCCAGAAAGTAGAAAGCTCTTCTCGGAAATTCCAACTTGGCTAAGCTGGGGGTCACTACGGTCTAAAAGGCGTGTTGATTGGTGAGTAGTGGCGTTCATTTTCGATGTGGGGGAACAAATTCATAAATTTGAGGTTTCTTGCGTGAACCAGCTTGTAGGTCCAGAAAAATCGCGTCCGCTCATTTGGAAAGGCTGTACAGCAGTCCCGAGGGCCGAAGGCTGACTTGGCTCCAGTACCGAAAGTGTCCCCAAATGCTCCCGTATGGAGAGTGTTAAATGTACTGGGGACACTTTCTTCCAAACTCTACTGCTGTAACTGTCCGAAGTACACACAGCAGTTTAAGGAAGAAGGGGACCCGCGGCTTCTGAGATTGTGTACGGCAAGTCAGAGGCCAACGGGAGAGGCACACAGGCATCACACATCACACATATCATACTGCGTAGCACCTCACACGAGCATGCTAAATCAAGATTTCCCACGCACGTTTCATGCAGCGGAGCATGGCGATCAACACGCTGTGTCCCAAGAGTATCCCCGTACAACTGCGGTGTGCGTTGGAGGGTGATACACTACAACCAAGGGACACAACCGCAGCACCGCCGTTACCGGGGCGGGCAAAACGCCAGTGTTTGGCCATGCGACCTACTTGCTGTTGCCAATTCCCAAAGAAACATACCGTACCACGACTGACGCACCTGCATAGTGTCATATATTGCCAGGCCCGCCGACACAGAACCTCCAGGAGAATTGATGTAGAGTGTAATGTCCTTCTCCGGATCGTCATTCGCCAGATAAAGAAGCTGAGCAACCAACACGTTCCCCACTTCGTCGTTTACCTCTTGCCCAAGAAGAAGAATCCGATCCTTCAATAACCTCGACATAACGTCCATTTGCTCACGACCTTCTCCAACAGTGGGCATCGGCACCGGCGTCCGACGAGGTGGGACTGGTTGGTCCGGTTGGGGCTCAGGTTGGGGCTCCGTTGGCATAGAAAGCGCATGTTGGAGGCATCGTTGTTGCACCATTGCTCTCCGACTGAGTGGAACCGCTGGTACGAAGGCAGATGCATGCGAACCTATGCATGCGCCCAGCATGTATAATAACGTTCGCTTCATAGATGCGTGATTGCGTGCACACGCTCAAGGATAACCACAAGGTAAGAGAGTGAGCAGCGATACAAAACCGGAGATCGGCTAGCAAGTTTTTTTTTTTTCCCCATCAGTCTGACCCGACGACGCCGCGTGCGGATAGGCGGTAGCGCTTCGTTTGACTAATTTTTTTGAAACCGCCGCCAAGAAGTACCGAGCACGCGCACACACAGCATGGCTGCAGGAGCATATACGCTCTTAGCATATCTTCTTGGTGGTACATGCCAGAGCAATGCTGCGGTGCTGATCCAGTACGAGTTCTCCCAAGAGGAATGCCGCCGCGGCGTCGTTGCCGATGTGGCCGGAGGAAACCGATTCTTCGGTGATCTTTCGCTTGACAATTCGACAGCATCGTGCTTGCCAGGCGTTGGCATTGAGCGGACTTCGGCCTCACCAGGATCACCAGGTGCCTCATCTATTGGAAATACAACACTACTGCGGGAAGAGTTGCTCAACGATGATTCTTCTCCAGGTCATTTCTCGCTGGAGTTATGGCTGAGTGTTCCAGAGATGCCGGCATGCGATGGTTTTTGCACCACTCCCATCGTGACCATCGGCGAGGGCGATACTAGCCTCGATGATGATTGCCAACAGAACCTGGGCATGATGATAACCTACTGGACTGAGACCGGTGATTTTGGGGCCCGCTTTATGTCAATTGACGACGAGTGCGAGCGGTTGTGGAGCGGTGCGATACAGCCAAGTGAAAGTATGGGATACGCGCTTCATTTGGTGTTGACAATCGATTCGATAGTATTTTATGGTGAACCCTACGCCTATTTCAGATGGTATATCAATGGCACACGCGTGGCGCGGGACCTCAGCAAGGACGTTCCTCCCGAGACAATGATGACCCTATGGGATTCGGACTTCAATATGCAACTACTGGATTGGAGTCGGCAAATCCCTAGTTCATTTTACACGGAGGGACCAGGAATAAAGATTTTTTACCTTGCAATCCACGACGAAACCTTGGACGTCACGGAGATTGTCTCGAGATATTCTGCTCGTGTCACCAATAGTACTCCAGTGGTGAGCGATACGACCATAGGCGTTGCTGAAGACGGTGAAGAGGGGGATCACTATGAAGACCCTCAGTCCTACCTTCAGGTATTTCCAGTGTCGGAGCTCCAGATGGTTCCCCTCGACGTTTATGACTCAGACAACGATCCTGCAACGCCCAACTACGACAACAGCACGAGCCCGAGGGTATTCGTGAACACACTGCCTTTTCTGGGCTCCCTTGTAAATTCGTCGGGTGATGACATCAGCTCCGTGCCGTTCGAAGTTCTAGAAGATGCTGGGGCGTTCGCCGTGAGATACCGGCCCATTTTAAACGACTTCTCCACCAACGACTCGGTCGTGTACGCTAATTTTTCTTTTTATGCGACTGACGGAGAGAGTGGTACTCGGAGCCATACGAATGCGACGGTTTCAATGTACGTGTTCTCGAAGAACGACCCTCCGCAGGCTTTGAACGCAAGCCACGGCGTATTCGCGGGTAGCAGGGAAAACTTTATTCCGCTAAACGGTACAGACATGGACGCCTTTGATGACGTACACGGAGCGGCTATTGTGGAACCGCCAGCGAGAGGGACATTGTTTCAGGTGCGTCTTACTTGGAAGGGCGGGGTAATGAGCCGCGGAGTAGCGACTCAATACCTTGCAGTAGTCTCATAAGCGATGCTGATGGTGCACGAATGTCGACACACAGCAGCGTGAATCGTTTGTGGTGCAGCTACGTGCACCAACGAGAGGGCAGGGGTGCGACGGGCGCGACGAGGTTGTATTGTTCCAGCAGCCGAGTGCCCGCTAAAAACGTTGATCCAGTCCGCTGCGCAAAAGATACCCGAATCAGTTGCGGACCCCCCTCTTGGGTCCGCTACCCCCAAGTGACATTTTGTCGCTGCCCTTGTCAAGGAAGAGATTGACCTTCCCGTGCTAGAAGAGCAAGCTATCTGAGAGAAACTAAGACCTATGAGACCTATGAGTCAGTATACCTAGCTTGAATACGCTAGACATACCGTTGGCTTGCTGGGGATAACCTAGTTGTACCGTTGTTATAGATTAAGCAAGCTATTACATCCACCCCACATGAGCTAACCCCAAGAAAATCTAATAATCGATGAACCCCAGCCAGTGGCTGTTACGCTAAAGCATGAGTAGCATGAGAAACTCACCTAAATCGATAGCATTAACACTCCTGTTACAGTTTGTACGGCCCGTTAAAGAATTGCACTTTACGTGCCGCAGTTTCTTTTCCGTTGATGCACATGCACACACCCACGAAGAACTACTGTGTGGACGCAAAGACGCACATCTGGAAGAGGCACGCTTGCGGCATATACCTGGCGACGAGCGTATCATATATATGAATACTTGACATTGCCGAGGAGCACGAGCAGCAGCGTAGACATAGGATTGACAGACAGATGCGTAACAGACAGATGAAAAATATTGCGTCAGGTTCACGACTTACCCGCCATCACATTCGTCTCAGGCCTTCCGAATTTCCCCCTTGAAAGCACGCAGCAACACATACATGCACCAGAGCCGTTGATGTTCATGACTTTGATGCGAGAGACCCGGCAGCAGCAACAGCAGCAGGCAGGGCACGGCTTTTGCGAAGACAGTCAGTAGCGCGGCGCAAGTACGCAACCTGAACCAATCCCGTGAAACCATCCTGAAAACACACAGCAGTTTACCCTCACGCCCTCGACGGTTTCTCGCGATAGTAGGTGTGATGTGGACTTGGGGAAGGTGTGTTGTTATTTGTTGTTTGTGACCATCGGTCTGCTGCTTATTGAGTAGTCGGTTGGACTCACTCAACGTCAAGAAACACCCCCGCCAGGATATACATGGCACATGATAAGATCCACGGCGCGCAGGTGGTATAGGCTCGGCCTCTCCTGGTTTTCATAGCTGGTCTCGGATCAGCGTCCCAGCGGTGACGCGTTTTTTGGTGGTGTTGTTGCGTCTCTGGTTTCAATCGCGCGTGCGCGCAATCTCCGCTGTTGTGTTCCCCTTTTCGCGGAGAAACCCCGGGGTTGGGGACAGCGATCTCCTACGAATTTAGGGCACAAACGCTTGTGTAGCACGGCCCATCTGCTATCGGCGCGCTATTTGTCTTCTTCCTCAGAAGCGAACCGATCGTCAATCGGTGCCCTGTAGATGTCGTTCTGCTTCCAAAGGTGGGAAATTTCGGCTTCCCGGAAACCAAGTTTTGGGCCGCTGCTACACGCGACGGAATAGGCCAGTATATGGAGCCTTTTTCTCCCTCCTGGGGATAAAAGGAAGAAAGGTCGCGCTTCGCGCTTCGCGGCTCACTACAAATATTAACATTTCTACCACAAAAACGGGGCTCGACAGCTCTATCTACTGCTGTACAACCTAGGCTGTCCAAACGTCGCCGTGCCATTTACCAGAGAACACCTCGAGGTGTTTTAAGATGGATAGCAACGTCATGCGACAGATCCTTCTCTCTCCCAGTGACTTTCCGGCATTTTTTTCAACGCATCCATTTATCTAGGACACGGCTCAAAGTTCTAGGGATCATCCTACGAGTTTTTCTGTTGGTCCGCACATGACTGACCGCTGCCTGGCTAGTGATCTTGCGAATACATACGCGCGCTTTTCTCAAAAACTACCTTATCCACACACATCCGGCACCCAGCCATGTCGCACCCACTAGATACAACATATCTTCACGTGCGGTGCATAATTCGACATCCTAAAAACGCCCGGGGTGGACTCAAGGAGTGTGAGGCGACTTCTTCAGGGCGCACCCGGGTACAGTTTTCTTCTTAAAAAGTCCAGGAAACGCCTGCATATATGAGTTCCAAAGTCTAACTCGAGCACGAAACTTCCATCGCAAAGGAACCACCCGCTGACCCCCCCTCGTGTACAATGTTAGTATGTCTGAGATTGTAGCCCTCGTGATACATTAACGATTAGGTGTCCGCGATATTCCAAATGTGCCGTCTTTCATAGGATTTTGAAGCTCCGGTGCGGCCCGATTTTGAAACACTTCAAACACACAGTGACCGCGAATCAGCGCCTATGTGAGTTGGGGCGCGAAATTCAGCGCAGCTCTTTCCCTCACATACCTACTCGTCTCCACAGTCGATTTGAATGCTTGAGGTCATGTATATGTAGGCCTAGCCGTAAGTAAAGGCACTTGAAGCGTTTCAAAATTGGACCGCACTGCATCCATGTAAACTAGTCTCTTGTGTCTACAGGGTTTAGGGTTGGACGCTCGTGTAGCGACGCGCGTCTCTCACGGACACAATTCATCGTTGCGCGCGAACGCGTCATCGATGAGCGTTTTGGTGGCTCTTGCACGCGAGTGATGCTTTGCTGTGAGTGAATGGACTACGAGCTCAGCTACCAGTGTATCCGGGCTGTTGTTGCATGTGAAATGGCGCGATGATGCCCCTGGTGTTGCTGCAGTACAAGTGTCACAGTTTTCTGTTGGGTCTCGGCATTTCGGTTGAATTCTGTGTTTATGTAGCCTACTTCAGGCTGACCATCATAAATGTCGCAAGTTAGGCCCCGTCTCTACACACCTGCACATGTTGAAATGGTTGAGACGCCCATCAATGCTCTTGAAAGACAGAATAATATCATGTGTGTGCCGTGAAAGTGTAAGGGGGAGAGACTCGACAACGCAGGCGCCTAACGATGCCTTCCAGCCTGTCCACCACCGGGAACCGCATACGTCCTATGTACTCCCTCGACCTGTCTGTCTTTCTCGTTTCTCCCTTCCGGCTTTTTGTTGGGTACATTAAGAGAAGAACAAATAATATTGTGGGGTCCGACTCATTCTCTCCAGATATCTCTCGAGAAGTACGTCTCAGAGGGCCTTGAGGAGAGTTTATCGTCTAGATCCGGATACGCCCACAGCAGGTCTCGTTCCCTCTCTCCATCTCTGTTTTCTCTTTTGCCTTGTTGTTTGAACTATGAATATGTTTCCAACCGCCACCGGAATATTCCCAGTACCGGCTTTTTGGGGGGTTTCCTTGCCATATCATTTCATCAGCCTCTGCCCCCTATACATTTTTTTTACCCCCTCCATCCCCGATGTTTGCCATCGGGTTGGGTTTTCGTCGCTTGGCAACGACGTTGGCAGTTACACAGTGCTTACAAATGTCTCAGGAAGTGAAAGCACCAGACAACAAATTAAGTCATACGCAGCTGTCATCCGTACGCAAGGAAGTAAGCACAAGATGCCGAACACCCTTAGCAGGATGCAGCGCACCCTTCATGCGACTCGCCG